GCGAGCACCCCGAGGAGGATGGTGCCGAGGCTGCCGCACACGCCGGGGGCACTGTCGCAGTCCTTTTTGTCGGCTTCGCACCTGGATTGCTGGCACAGGACCCCCTTGAAGCCCACGGGGCAGATGCAGCGCTGGTTCTGGTAGCAGGTGCCGCCGTTCTGGCAGAGCAGGAGCTCATCGTCGCAGACGTTGGCTACGAGGTGGGAGGGAAGGTCGTAGGTGTTAATCTGGGATATGTTAAACCCCCTGAATGCAGCAGAAACTAGAAGCTTTTGGCTTTCTTCTCGAGCTCCTAGGGGTTAAATTATTCAACCCTCGTAGGGCTAGAGCAGCCCCAAGGCCAGAGGAACACAGTGGGGGCTGCAAACTCCAGGGGCAAAGCCATCAAGTCATTTTGGATTTGGGAGGAATGGCTGGAGTCTGCTCACTCTACACCCTGAGCACCACGGGGCACCCGAGCAGGCGATGCTGAAGATCCCCCTCTTGTTTGGACCCATCTCACCCCTCCCTCTGTCCCTCTGGCTCAGGGGGACGTGAATCTGCTGGGGCACTTACGGAAGCAGCCCTGTCTCCAGTAGTAGTTGGGCAGACAGTCGTCGCACTTGGGCCCCGTGGCGCCTTCTTTGCATTCACAGTAGCCGGTCTCGTTGCAGCGGTCGTGCATGGAGCCGATCTGGTTGCAGTTACATTCTGGCCAAAGACAGGGCTGTTAGTGCCTGTTCTGAGGCTTTGTGCCCACTAATGCCCCGAGGGAGGTGTTGGGGCCTTTGGAAAAGGCTGGCTGCATGCTACGGGAGGGCTGTTAGAGACCAAGGGACTGGGAGGGCATGGTTTCATGAGAGGCTCCAACAGTGCAAACAGCCATGGGTGCAAAGACCCCCCCCTTTGGAGCTGAGCAGCTCCTGGTAGAGCAATGCATCTGAATCAAGTTGGAAAGATATTATTTTGGGCTTTGTTTTCGGGGAAGAGAAGCCTTGGTGGGCTGCAGAGGCCCTAATGGCTGCTGTCCTTGGGGAGCATGCAGGTGGACACACCACCCTCCAGAGAGGGGTTGAACTGAAGCCCACCCCATAGAGCGAGGTCCCGCAGGAACCATCCCACGTCCCGGTGCCTCAGCCCGAGGCCGCCGGAGCGCTCACCTATGCATACATTCTCGTCGTCCAGCTCTGCCGAGCTGTTGCGGTAGAAGCCCAGGCGGCAGTGCTGGCAGTGCTGGCCCCTCGTGTTGTGCTTGCAGCTCACACAGGTCACCACGTTGAGGAAGTCGATGTAGCTGCAGCGGTTGGAGTGGCCGTAGCACTCGCAGTCTGCGGAGAGGAGGAGAGAGCTGGGGAGCTGGGCCGGGAGCATCCTCCCTCCAAAGCAGCTTTGGAGGAGGCTCCGGCTCGGCTGAAACACCATGGCCATTGCCGACGCAGGGCTGGGGTGGGCTGGGCAGGATGAGTGCATGCAGCGGCTGCTGTTCTTCACTGCCATGGGGGGATTGGGCTGGAAGTCATTGCTCAGAGAGCAGAGCGGGGTCAGGGACCTCTGTCTCCTGGGGCGAGGACAGGCAGGAGCCAGCCCCCCGCTGTGCCAGGACACGATCTCTTTAAGGAAATGTATAATCATGGGAGCAGGCAGTGGGCTGTGGAGGGGAGTCAGGTGTTAATTAAAGAGCCTTAACGAGCAGAGCTCAGCTCGGTGCCTGGGTTTGGCTCTGGTGGGGCTGTAGGACCTGCATGGGAGCTGCGCCGGGGTGCAGAGCCCCAGCAATGGCTCTGCCGAAGGCTGCGCTCTGCCTCGCTGTGGCAAGGAGGGGACTGGCCCGTGGGACGGGGCTGGCAGAGGGTGCAGCAGCGCCCGCTGCCTCCAGCCACGGGAAAGCCCTGGACAAGGCTGAAGTGGAGCTGAAGCTGCTGCGTGCCCAGGTAAAACCTCACTCCCTCTCTGGCTTTTTCCCCTCCGTGTCCCTTCTCAGCATCCCCCTTGCTGTTGTACCTCCCAGCTCGATGCTGGTTGTGAAGTACGGTGACTCTCAGGTTAAATGCTTAAAATGAGTGTATGCCAGGAAGCATGGCTTGCGTGGGGTCCTTCAAAAGATGGTGGACAAGTGCGTGAGGGTTTGAACCAGGGCTGCCTGGCACAGCACAGGGACACCTGCAAAGGCTGCCGGCAGGATGAGATGCCACCATCACTTGGCCGAGCACTGTTCCTGTCCCCAGGGCTGACCTCTCTCAGCTGTGGGCATGTGTTAGAAAACAACCAGGTAGGTTTAATTTGTAGCCAGAGGAATTTGATTACTTGCTTCTTTTGTTTGCTTTTTATTACCGTGACGGGATGGCAACTACCTTGCAGTGTTAGATTCAGGATGCTGGATCTTTCTGGAAGTTTAAAACTGTATGCAGGAGGAGAGGAGGTACCCTCGTTGCCTTGTGGCCCAGCTGTCCTGGCCAGGAGTTGTCCCAGCCAGCATGGGCAGAGCATAACGCGAGCAGAAAGTGTCAACCAGGTCTGAGTTCCCCCAGCCTTCGGAGAGGAGGAGGGAGGCTTGGAGCTGGGGTTTTGTTCCAAGCTCTAGCATTAAACATTCAAGGATGGCAGAGGGATGGGAGGGAAGGGTGTGGGTTGGCATGCAGCATGCACATGTGACTGGAGGAGGAGACTCGTCTCAATGAAATGATGACCAGGGAAGATGGAGCAGGGCAGAGGTTTCCCCATGGTTCACAGCTGCCTGAGGAAGAGCTGAGAGTCCGTTGTAATCTGTGAAACAACCTCTGCCTGTTTGACCAATACCCAAAGAATTTCAGCTCAAATACTTCTGGCTGCTGCAATTCCCAAGCGTTGTTTCACCCTAGGGATGCACTCCTACATACAGCTAACCACAACTCGGACAGGCAAACCCTCCCCATCTTCTCCATGTCGGAGGCTGCTGGACCACATCACCTGGGCGAAGACTAGGAGCCCTGGAGCACCGCACTCCCTCCTCTTACCTTTATATGTTTCAATAGGAGCCACTGGGCCAGAGTCCGATTTGATCCGGATGAGTTTTGAGCTCTTTGAGGATGCTTAAGAAAAATCAGAGACATGCTTTTTCTTGCCCTTAGCACCACTCCGCATCCTACCCTACCGCAAGCAGCTCTGCTACGAGAACAATGCCGAGCCAAGCCAAGAACACTGCTCTGGCAGCACCGGCATCTATTTCTGCACCAGACAGCTGGTAGCTGCTAAATTTCTCCTCTTCTTCTCCCCTCCTCAAAGTTTGATGCATGAAAAACTCAACGCACCGCGCTATTGCAATGCGCAGAGCCGGGGCTGAGGCAGAGGAGCTACTCACGCATCCCCCCGTTACGCACGTTCGGTGGCATGAATTGGGTTACTCAGGATAAAGATCTACAAGTCAAAACAGCTTAAAAAAATCTATTGGTCATGGCCTCAGTTTGATGGAGGTCATGCCAACCGGCACCAAAAAAGCTGCTAGGAGTACAGCTAAGAGCACAAACGCTACGGAGGTGGTATCTGGCAGGGCTTGCTACAGGGTCCTGCTGAGCACGCGCCGCTCCAGGCCAGCTTGTCCCCGCCAGCAGCACATACCTGGCTTCTTCCCGTGCCTCTTGCCTGCAGAGTGTGCTGTGCGCCCTGCTTTGCTCTTCGGAGCCGCTACGCGAGAGGATAAAACATATCTGAGTGCTGTGGTGGGGAGAGGGCTCCCAGGGCCAGCCCAGCACGGTTGGGCTAGGATAATCCCTCAGGGTAAGGGGCTGCCCCGGCTGGGACGGTGCTTCCTCTGGGCTGTGCTGCCAGCCAGACCCCTGTCCCACACAGAATGGCCGGGGCACTGGGGGTAAAGGCCATCGCTTCCAAATCGAGCTGATGGGGTTTGGTCCTTGGGGGGTTTGGTGCTTTGGTAACCCCAGTAAGAAGCAAGGTTGAGCAGCGCTGAGATCCCATAGGGTGTTTAGGAGCGGGTCCTGCCGGTTTTTGTGGCGTGCAAGCCCTTGCACAGCGCTGTGGTGCTCAGGGAGGAGCTGGATGGGCACTGCCAGCTACATCCCACCGGTGCTGGTCACATCCCCACAGTGATAGCCATGGCAGGAGGTGGCCATGCTCCCCACCCCCACGGCTCAGCCATGGTCAGAGCAGGCCCACTCCTGCCTCTGATGCCATTTGTGAGGCTGCTGTGGCATCGGGGCCTCCTCGGGTCTCCATGGCTTCCCCTGGTCCCATGGTGGGCTGGCACGGGGTCCAGACCCTCCTCCACCAACATGGCCTCTCCAGCCTCCATGGCCATGACAGGCCACCATTGTGCCCAGGCCCTGCTCTGCCACCACGGCCTCCTCCATCCCCTGGCACAATGGCTGAGCATGGAACATAGTAGCCTCTCCTCACAGGCACTCAGCAGCAGACCAGCACAGCGCAGGGGGACCAGGGCCTGTTGTCCCCGCCATGCGGGAAGTGGGGCAGCCCAGAGGGGAAGGAGCAGCTCAGTAGGTCCCCGGGGTGCTCCAAAGCCCCACATCTCTGCAGTGGGTGCTGCAGGTGGCCCTGGGGGCCATATCCCTGTGTAGAAGACCCCACAGTTGTGCCTATCCCTCATGAGGAGGGGGCCATGGCCGTGAGGAGGCTCTACAGGGTGTTGGGAGCAGGGTGGTCTGCTGAAGAGGCTTGGCCCTGTTGGGCCAGAGCAGCCAATCAGCCCAATTAATCTTGCCCAATTAATCTTGGCCAGGGGAAGGTGTATGCCCCTTGCCCCATGGCAAGAAACCCCTTCCCAAAGCAGCTGAGGTGCCCGTGGGCTCTCCTGGGGCCCAGGGACACATCTACAGCCATCCCAGCCCCAAACACGTCTCCAAAAAGATCTCCATGGGACTGGATGAGCAGAACTGAGCTGAGGTGGACCCTCTGAGTAGGAGAGCAGGTTGTACGATGGTGGGTCATGCCAAGGACGGGTGGGTTGTCCTGGCCTATGGGCACTGGGGGAGAAACCTTTCCTGGCCCATCCTTGGGGACGGGCATGGCCTTACCTCGAATGTTCTTGGGAGGGTCTGGTGGCTTCGGCTTGGGTCCAAGTGCTGCTGTGTTTGGTGGGCGCTGAACAGCTTATGGTGGCATCAGTTAGAGAGAACATCAGATTTAATACAGATCCCCCTCTTGTTTGCTTAAAAAGGTGGCAAAGGGACACTGGAAGCTCTAGGCAGGTATCTAGGGTGGGTTGGTGGAGCCATATCTGGTTGAGAAAGCCAAAGTCTGCTGGAAATTAGAGTCTTTAAGTGTGAAGAGAGACAGAAGACGTACTCCTAAGGGGAGAGCACGGGAGCTGCTGGATGGGTGAGTGTTGGCATGTGGTCATTACATTTGCCCAAGCACGGAGAGAAGCTAAATCTGCAGACCACTGTCAAGACTCAGAAGCTGCCCTTGCTCAGCACAGCCTGTCAGCATCACCTGGCACTGATGCCCATGGTGTAGGCCTATTATCGAATACAGTTTTGCCTCTCTTTGAGGTGAGAGACAGGCCCAAAAGCACAACAATTCCAAAGAGCCCCAATTTCAGCACTTTCTGCCCCCCAGTTGAGTATTTCCAAACACTGGTTTGTGTCCTGGGCCCAGCTTCAGCAGTTGTTACAGTCCAGTTCTGCACTGTAAGGGATGCTAATGTCTACGGCTGGAGCGAGCTACAGGCATCTCAGATGGGAAACAGGAGGGGAGCACCAACGGGCAACTGCCGAAGCGTGTGTGCTGGTGGGAACCCTGAGGAGGAGAAGCTTCAGCCTCAACAGCCAGCGTGAAGCCTCCCAAGGTTCCCACCAGCAGCAGCTCACCTTAGGCAGTCACACAGGAGGTCCGAAGCAAGGAAATACATAAGAAGGCATTTACGCTATAAACAACACAGACCTATCTATTTACAAAGTTATTCTGCTCTACAAACAGACTCCAGTCGTGGGAGACGACAGGATTTCCATGATCCTCTCTGTTCACCCCAGCAGCAAGCTGTGAACAATCTCTTCTACCACTCGCCATCCTCATCTTTCATGTATACGACTAAACCCTGAGGCTCAATCCAGCCTCACCAGATTCCCACCTGCGTGTCGGGCACAGACAAACCCTGAGCTTTTTCCCAGGCAGGAAGCAGAGAGAGATGCATGGAAAACAGAGGTGCAGAACTAGAAACTAAAGCATTCGCTGAGTGTTGGGAGCTGGTACTCACTGGCAGGACCCAGCTCAGCCACATGTCCCCTACCTTCTGCTCCTGGACCAGCCTTGGCCGGGGGAGAGCCCACTTGCAGCGGGGCAGCTGCCGACAAGCCGGTGTAGTCTTGCAGCGATCAAA